AGGGGCCCTCTGGCTGGGGCTCTCGCTGGAGGCAGAGGTAGATGACAACCTCACCTCGGAGCAGAGGTGTGCCGGCAACACCCACGGGGTCTGTGCACGGCTCCGCACCACATCGTGTGTGCCTGCTAGAAAGCCCAGACCGAGGAGGAATGAGCCTCAGAATGTCCCATCCACACCCTCATCATCCTCAGATGGGGAGATAGTCACTTCTTCGTGCCTCAGAGTTCTTTCGCAACTGTAAAATGAAGGTCTGCTCTACTGGCCCAGCTCCCCCCACACACCTCTGCCCCAGGAGGGACTTAGTCCCACTGGCCTTACTCTACTCATCTGCAAAATGGGGCTCCTACCAGGCCCAGGGTGATGGTGAGGATCGAGTGACCCTCCACAGCCCTGGGTTTGTTGAATAAATGACCACGATGAGATGTGCACCACTCTGAAAGGCCTGACGTACTGTCAGGCGCAGGACAGGGTCTGGTCACTGGGGCAGCCCACGGGGACATGCCAGCACACTCCCCTCCTCCAAAAATCCCTGAGCTCTGGCTACCATGGTCTCAGGCTGGGCTCTAGGGCCAGAGGTGCAGCAGCCCGAGGCTCTGCTCACGAAAGTTCCTAGGCTGGGGAAGGAGGGGGAGGGGAGACGGAACACCGAGGAGGAGCACAGGGGGGAAGCCAGTGTATGTGGGTACCTGGGAGGGGGATCTCATTGGAATGGCCTGCCACGACGGTGAAATCGGTCCCAGTGGCAGGCTGAAGAATGCCGCCCCACCCAAATATCAATGTCCTAATCCTTGGAACCTGACGACGTTACTTTATATGGCAAAAGAGATTTTTTTGCAGATGTGATTAAGGATCTCGACTTGTGGAGATTATCCTGGATTATCCAGCTGGGCCCTAAATGTAATCACAGGTGTCCTTATCCAAGGGAGACAGAAGGAGATGTGACGCCAGAAGAGGACAAAGCAACAGGACAAGGAAAGCAGACAGGCTGGGGTCATGAGGCTGGGGTCAGAGGAAGGCCAGCAGCCACTAGAAGCTGCGAGAGACAAGGACCAGATTCTCCCCTGGAGCCTCAAAAAGGAACCGGCCTGCCGATACAAGTTTGGTCCCCTACGACTCATTTCAGACTTCTGACCTCCAAAAGCGTAAGAGAACGAACTGGTGCTGTTTTAAGCCGTTAAGTTTGCATTCATTTGTTACCACAGCAAGAGAAAACAAATACCATTCCTGAAGAAGATCGTGGGCAGGCATGGATGTGGCCTCACACCTCTCTGCTCAAGGGAGTGAGTGAATCAGCTAGCGATACTCATCCTGAATTGCTTCAATGTAAAACAAAGTCACTCCAAACTTCTGTGTCTTAGTTACTGGTAACAAGCCACTCGGGGCCCACCGCACCTGACCAGCATAAATGATACAGCAGCAGGCAGCACGCTGGCGGGTGCAGGCCACCAGGCTCTCTGCCTTTTGTCCCCCAGGATACAAGATCCTGTGGCCACCCCATGAGCACACCCCATCACTGACGGTTAGCTGAGTACCAATGGATGGGCTTTGCTCCGGCCACTAGCCCCTTCTCCCACAAGACCACGTGTGCCCCCACTGTGGCAGAAAACCACAGCACTCCCCCCCACCGCCCAGGCCACCACAGCCTCAGCCACTGGCACCCTCAGACCTCTACAGCCCTGCCCCGGGAGAGCTGGGGCCCCCAGAAACACATCTCTGAACAAGTAGACTGGGAAGCAGTAACTCAGGCCAGGACAGCAAGCAAATGCTCACATTCCATTAGCTTCCTGTGTCCAAGCCTGAGGGCGGGCTTCCTACAACATCCTGGATTAAAATCCCAAAGGGCCTTAGCCCATTTTGCCTTTAGTGAGCAGGGAAAAGCAGGCCCTGAGGCCAAGGGAAGTGGGCAGCCTGGCCTAACTGAATGCAGTCCCAGGGCGTCACCATCAACCGGGGAAGAAGCCACCAAACCGGGGCAGGTCTTGGAGGAGAGGCCTGGGGGACCACTGCCAGCCAAGAACTGTCCTGAGTAGCAAGGCATGAAGGGGCAGAAGAGGTCTCCAGGGGGGACTTGAGGGGTGGAGGGAAGGGGCTCTAACGGCACTCAAAACTTGAGGACGGGGGCAGGGTAGGGAGGTTAAGAGAAGACCAGCTGTGGACAGCTGTCCCCATGTGTCTGCACAGGCCCCAAAGCGGCTGGCGGGTCTCCCCAGGTCCCCAACTCTGAGGGGTGCAGACCTGCCCTCTGCAGCTGGGGGAGCCTAAGGCCTGCTGCTGAGCTTTATGTATGACCGTTAGGGGGACAGGAGACTTTGAGAGGCCCAGGGACTTGGATGGGCAGATAGGCAGCAAGACCACTGACTGGAAGCTTCTGAGCCTAGCTCTCCACACCCAGTGAAGACAGAGGAGGGGCTTCCACTTCAATGGGAGGAACTCTTTCTCCTTTTCCCTTCTCCCAGAGTTTCCCCCTCCTTGCTGTGTGGGCTGTCTCCCCCGGGGAAGGGACTAGGCGATACCAAATATCAATTACTGTTGACCTTGAACAACGATGGGGGTTGAAGCAGGGGTTAGGGGTGCCGATTCCCGCACAGTCAAAACTCCACGTGTAACTTTGGACTCCGCCAAACTTTACTGCTAATAGCCTATCATTAACCAGAAGCCTTACCAATAACATAAACAGTTAACACATACTTTGTACGTTGTATGTATAATACGTTGTATGTACAATACACAAAGCTAGAGGAAAGAAAATGTGATTAAGAAAATCCTAAGGAAGAGAAAATACATTTACAGTACTGTAAAAAACCCATGCAGGAGTAGACGCGTGCAGTTCAAACCCGGGTTGCTCAAGGATCCACTGTACTATTAATTATAATGGCTATCAAACACCAGGTCCTTAGTAAAGCACTTTCAGCGACACGATCTCCCTTAATCATCGTCATTCGATGTCATCGACTCCCTGTCATCAAGCAGTATTCATCCCTGGGCACAGGTAAGGGCAGAACCAGCCTCAGAGAAGAAGCCTGGACACAAGGACAGGCCTGCAGGGAGGAGATGGTAGAGAGAGGCTTTTCTGTGCCCTCTGTGGGCTCCACGCCAGCCTCCTGTTCAGGGACCAGGGCTTCAGGGCTGTCCTGAGAGCCTGTGGAGAAGGCAGAAGCAGCCAGAAGGCCTGGGGGCAGTGTCCTGGACGTTGCCGCCCAAAACCCACAGGCCTCCCACAGCCAACTTCCATCTTTGACTTTCCCCGGTGGTGGCCCCATCTCCAAAAGGGCTCCCCGACCCACCCTCCCTCTGCACGAGGGCCGTGTGCACCCCCTGAGCATCTCACATTCACACTACCCCAGCTCTGGGAATCTGTTATCAGATCCCCTCCCTAGCCCTGGGCGGGGCCTGGGCAGAAGAGAGGCAGAGGAGTGGGGAGAGGGCCTCTCGCGGCCATGGCCTCCTCCTCACTGGGCTCTATAGTAACCCGCTCAGCACAGAGCCAAAGAAGGATGACCGTTCTTGTTCTCAGAGGCACATCTGACCATTTAAGGCCCTTCCCCACAGGGCTACCACTCAGTTTCACACCTCCAGGCCTTTTCCCGGGCCTGCAATGCCTGCCCTTTCTCTTCTGCTTGCTGAATTGTTCATCCTAAGACCCAGCACTGAAGTGTCTGCAGTGAAATCTCCCCCAACTCCCAGGCAGGTCCCTGCCCTGGGCCCCAGTACTGGGTGTATGCTCACAGGGGCTTATCTGTTGACCCATCTGCCTCACCAGTCAGAAGGGAGGCTCATCAGGGCAATGACCCCACCTCAATGTCCTGGCACCCCGCTCTGGACTGGCCTGAGGCAGCTGCAACTGTGTCCACCCTACCCTGCCCAGTCCCTCAGCCAGGCAAAGCAGCCAGGCCTCCCCACTCCTACCCCAGGACTCTGGGGACTGGAGCAGGGACCAGGCCCAAAGTCCCTGGGAAGTCTCAATCCTTGCAGTAGAACACGGTGGGTTCCCCTAGGAGGCCTCACACTCAGGGTTGGCTGAGCCCTACTCTCAAACCTCTCTCTTCCAGGAAGTCTACCCAGATTTTTCCCTGGAATGGTTGGCCTCAGCACTATATTCTCCAACGCTAGTACAGGAAGAAGATTCTGACCTGTGAGCCAAGCTGACCTAGGTTGAAATCTTGGCTCAGCAGCCCTGAGAGACAATTTTAGCTCACTTCATCCTCTGCCCTACCCTCCTCATCCCTGTGAGGGCTGGGGCTGATTGGCTCCACATGAAATGAAACATGGACACACGGCACCTGTTACTGATCTCCTGTCCTACCTCACCTCTGGACGCCAGGTGGGTTTCCCCAGGTCCCCAACTCTGAGGGGCGTAGGCAGGATCAGAGAAGCCCAAGATCCATTCTCTCCCAGATCTCCCCACCTCCCCCAGCCCAGACTGACACGCGGAAGCCTAGCAGCCCAGGAAAAGGCCCTTATCGAACCAGGGAGGGTCAGGGCGGGAATCGGCCTGGGCCCTGCCCCTTTCCCAAGCCTCCAGGGCCAGATTGAGGGGGGCATCCAGAGGGGCTTGTGGAACTGAACGGATGGAGGACTGGGAAGAGAAGAGGAAAGAGGAATGGTGAGGAAGATGAGAAGAGACAGTCAAGCCCGGGGCGGGGGGGCGGGGGGGGAGGGGGGGAGGTTAAATCTCACCGCGTCAGTACTAAGAAACTGGCTCTGGAACACCCACCCAGAGGGAGGTGGAAGAGGCCCCAGGCCGCCGGGTGGGGATGGGGGTGGGCAGTAGCCCGGGGGGGGGGGGGGGGGGGGCGGATTCTCGAAGCCCCACCCCCACCCCATCCCGCCCCGGGCCTCAAGGACCGCGCTCACCTCCTTCCTCCCCCGGAAGGCGCTCCCGCACACCTATTCGTGCTCACAGGGCACGCACCGGCCCGCGCCGCACCCGCACACACACCTCCGAAACACACACGAACACGCGCGCTCGCACACGCCTCCCTCTGCGCAGCGCCTCCTACCTGCCGCGCCGCCGCGGCTCCGGCGAGACACGGATGCAGGGCACCGCGCGGCCGCGGGAACCCAGGCTGCACCGGCCTCCGGCTCGGACAGGGGATCCGGCTGGGGCTGGTCTGGGGCGGGGGCTGGAGCTCCGACTCCCAGGCTGCGGCCCGCCCCGCCCCGCGGCCTCCGCCCATTTGGGGACAGAGGCGTGGTCTCCAGCGGGGCGGGCGTGCCAGGCTTGCTGCGCAAGCGAACTGGTGCGGTGCCTTGGGGCGAACCCGCTAGGGGGTGGCCGCAGGTTTCCCTCTCCCGGGTAGGAGGGGACCTGGGGGCCGCATGGCTCGGCCCGACCTCTCTCGGCTAGATCGGGCCCCCGGTCTCCCTCCTTCCCTCCCAGCCGCCCTAGTTCCGCTCTGGAGTAGCTCCGGAGCGCCCGAGGGCCGAACTCCGGTCTACTCTGCTCGAAGGTTCTGCGCCAGCCCCGCACAAGGCTTGCAGGCCGCCCGCACTTCGGGCATGCATCTTGTGTGGAGAGTCGCGCAAGGCCAAAACAGGGGCCTGGGAAAAGAGGGGCTTGAAGAGGCGAGCTCCCGTCTCTTCCCCATCTCCAAGGTTCGGGATGAGGAGGGGGGCTCTAGAGCCCGGGGAGGCACACACAAAGGCCCTTAGATTGCGGAAAGCTGGCCCCAGGCCCGTATTGAGCATTGATGCGTGTGCAATAGGACTGCTTCAGGAGCTGTATGTTTCCGGAGTAAGGTTGAGAAGGTTCGTGAGTGACCAACCCTGGCACACAGGGGCTCAGAGCTCCTGGCAGACATGCCTCACTGATCTGTTCGTCCGAGGCCTACGCTGGCCCACTTTGCAGATACAGAAACTCCTGCCCACTCACCGGGATTCTCAGGCCCACTCACCCAGATTCTCAGTCTCGTTTAATGATCTCATTAAATTCTCAGGCACTCAGACTACCCGGCCACTGCCTCACACTCTTCGGTCCCAGACCTCCCAGAAGTTTCTTTCTCCCCAGGATGTAGCCCCAGCCCCACCTCCCCCCTTTCCCCTTCTCTAGTCCCTATCCAGACAAGGAAGACTTTCAAATATGCAACCATGACCGGCCACCCACAGAACAATGTTTCAAAATTGCCCCAGTGCCGACTCCCCCAACCATAGCCCATTGCTGGGCCTGTGCCCTGGGCTGCAGCCTCCCCAGGCTCTCAGTGCTCCCCTCGAGGCCGTTGGCTCCCCCACCCTCAGACTGTGGTTTTGCTGCTCTGCCGCTATCTGGAAAGCTCTTCCTTCCTCCAGGAAGCAAGTGCTGATAATCAAGCCTCTAGAGCCATGGCCTCCATCACCAAGCCCCTCTCCACTAGGAAGCCCTACCCCCCCCCTTCTTCAGCGTTCGCACCCTTTGTTTGTGCTTCTTGCCTGGCCCTAAATTCAGTAAATTCACGCTGCCTCTCTTGGAGTCAGTGGTGGAGTCTCGGCCCCCTTCCCGGCCTCCCTGTGAGGCTGAGGCTCATTCTGGGGAAGACAGTAATACTTGGTGAAGCCAGGCAGGTCTGGCTCCAGTCCTCGCTCTGCCAGTTACTGGCCGTGTGATCCAGGCAACTCCTCTGTCCCTTTTCCTGTCTGTAAACTGGGCTTCTAGCAGAAAGGTGTGATGATCCGGTACAGGCAAGTTGTGGGGCCCAGTAAGGCCCCATCATGTAGGGTATTGGGTAGTATTGCCTCTGGGCTGGGGAGCTCCCACCTGGTCAAAGGTGGGCCCAGGGGTCATGTGTGAGAAGACATTTGCCTCAGCCTGCCAAACAGTGGAGCTCAGAAGATGCCGATAGGACCTGAGGTACCCAGACGTAGAAAAACACATATTTTGGAACAATGGCCGACGTGTCATACCACAGCAGCCCCCTCAGGCTTAAGGTTCCTCTTAAGAATGTAACGGACCCCACCTATTCCCCCTCAGGTTTCCCTCAGCACCTGAGGAAAGACCTAGGTATGGCCCTAGACCACCCCTCATTCAATGGAAACGAGCCAATCAGGAATGGACCACCCAGCACCTAGAGCTATCCAGCCAATAAGGGTGGGACCC